CCCCCGAGGAGTTTCGGAAGCAGAAGGGATTTACTTTCAGGAACTTGGGCGTTTTGACATATCTCGGAGGAGCCAAAGCCATTCTTCAGGGTGGCAATGGAAATGGCAACGGTGGTGGTGCCGCGAAGGGGATCAAAGGGCTGGCGGCCTACCTCATTTGGAGAGGAGCATATCTCACGATGACGCTGAGTTGGAGGAACAAGTTCCTTGTCGTGGTGCAATGGGTGGCTGTCAAGGTGTTTGGGAGGGATATCAGTCGGTTCTAGGGTGGCTACCAATCTGGGAAGATGATAGGTCTGGAAGGGCGGGTTTCTTGAATCCCGCAAGCCTGGTTTTATGGCTGGTCTCTTGCCGGCATTGGATGGGCAGGCGTTTCTGGAGATAGACAGGGACTTGGACAGATACTGCGAGGTGATACCAGACATGCGAGTATCTGCTTTGATAATAAAGTCGAGGACTATTCAAAAGCAATGAATATGTCGGGGTTAAAGGCACAGTATCATCTTTGATACAGACATGGCAACCGTTGTTCCCTGGTCGAAACTGGCTTACCGGGTTGGATTATGGCTCATGCATCTTTCGTCTGACCAGGCTGACTAACTATCAAGCGAGCTGAACAAGGGACAACCTTGCTTCTTCGCTATGTCGTTCGAGGCGGCAAGGGGACGGGTTTTTGCTTTGGTGTTGCATTGCGGCGTATTCGGGGGCCGCGGCCTTTTAAAGCGGAGTAGATCGTGGATGTGGTAGGCAAGCTATGCAGCTACGGATGTAGGCATGTAGATCGACCGTGCACATGAGGGCCTTATTGGCGGGATGGATGGATGGATACATCTGTATATGTATAAAAGGAGTGAACACTCATGATGCTGTAGGGTCGACGTTCCTCAGTCTTGTCGTCGCCCTCAACAACACTGATCAAAAAACTGGGGAAATCACGCCCACACCTACATCCGCAGATCAACACTCAACGCTCAAGGAAACAAAGAAAATGGCCTCTGCCGACTCCGTCTCCGCCGACGTCGCCCACACCCTAGCCTACGCCAACCTCCTCGACGTCTTCAGCAACCGGGACCACGAGTCGCGCCGCCGTGCCATCCAAGAAACATACCACGCAGATGTGACCTTCTACGAGCCGGACAGTGTCGCCACGGGCCACGACGGCGTCAATAGCAAGTGCGAGGAACTGCTCAGCGCGCGCAAGGGTTGGGGGTTCGTGCCCGTGGGCAACGTGCAGCGCAACCACGGCATGGTCTATCTCGCATGGGGGTTTGGGCCGCGGGACACGGCGACCGGCGAGGTCGAGGCCAAGGTCAAGGGGGCGGATGTGCTGATGGTGGAGGAGGGCAAGATCCGCAAGTTCTGGGTCATTATAGAGGGGGTGACGGATTCAAAGTCTTCTTGATCACTTGCCACAATGTAATATCTAATGCATGCCGGGATTTGTTGTGTTCAGCCAAACAAAACAGAAACACTGAGCGGGCGGCCGAGGGGAGTGCGGCTTGGCATATTTGCCCTTCCTTCTTCCTTCCTACGTCCTGTGTCTTCCCCCTGCGTTTTGGTATAAAACACCTATTTACTATCACCTGCTGAAATAGCGAATTTGGACCCCTTCTGCGATGCTACTGTCGCCGACAACACCTTTGCAACCACCCTCAAGTCCAACAACCAGAACCTTTGCGATGTCGTGGCGAACTTTCCCACAGGTAGAGCTTTACAAGATGTCAGAGGCGAATCGGATGACTGAGAACACCACCCACGGGCCCTAGATATCCTGGATTGCTGAACCCCACGGGTTCCCCAGTGCCCGGAGCCTCCCATGCCACCCTTCGTTGTTGGAAAAACGTGGGGACCATCACTTTGTTCTGACACTGTAACAGACGACCGGGATGAACGTCCAACGCTCAGGCTGGTCGCTTATCTGAGCCACCTCATCTTTTCAGATCTGCAATAATGGCCGGATAAAACACAGGAGGATCGGGTTCAAGCACCAAGAATTTCTCGATGTCGAGGGAACCAGCGCAGTGCCATCTCTTGCGAAACGCAAGCCGAGACCCTACCTCGGTGTGTGGGACTGAGGCTGAAAGCTCTACTCTACTAAGAATCAAGAAAAGGCAGAACACAGCAAAGGAAGGGAAGCTGCCAACAACACCAAGACAGCTTAAGCACACCCTTCCCTTCCCGAGGTAAGCAGCACTTTTTCATTCTGTGATTTCTGCCACACCATCAGCCACAGACAGATGTCGCGGTTGTTATGTAACGATGATATACTTGCTCGTACTCGGTATATATATGGATTGCACGCATACCTGAATGCATTATCACCGTCTGGGTAGTATGGTACACGCGATCTCGAGACCCAAGTCATCACTCAAACCAGAATCCGAGAAACAGAAGACTATATCCTCAGGCCTGGTGCCCAAGTCCCATGGACCTCGGATAGTTCTAGTTCTTGTCCACGCTCATCAAGATGAACAATGTCGCGATGGTGGAGACTGGAGAGACCCTCTCTCGCTCTCTCCGTCCATTTTCGTGAAACACGAAGACCTTAGGTTATACTATTAATGCGTTCCTGGGCATGGGAGTCAACGGAGTTGTTGCTTGTAGGTGGGTTATGCATCGGTCTTGGTCACACTCATACAAAGAACCCCCGAGGATTTGGGTAAAATGCCCACAGAAGAGGAATAGAAACTGCAACTTCGCAAGCCCACGCGAGCTCATAGCTTCTATCAAAATGTGTAACCTCGTAATTTTGTATGGGATGCCAAATTTACGACTCGTTCGCCTCGGAAAGACACTCCAGCAGAGAACTACGCATATTCAGCGCTTGAGTAGTATATATAAAGATAATAGTTCTCTTAATATGCTTGCTGATAAATCTCCACCAAACCCATAAATCCCCTTGCCATAAACTGTCATTCGAGAACGTTATTTTCTCTATATAAAAAAATGGCAGCGAGCAAAGTCGGATCCTTGGAAGGCAAAACTGCCTTGGTTACCGGAGGTTCCAGAGGTATTGGTGCTGCGGTCGCCGTCCAACTAGCACAAAGAGGGGCTTCGAAAATCGCAATCACATATGCTGGAAACACCAAAGCCGCCGACAGCACACTCGAGGAGTTGAAGAAGTTGGGGGTCCAGAAGGCAATCGCAATCCAGGCCGACCTGCTGGATCCGCAGTTGGGAGCAAACTTGATCCCCCAAGTCCTCAGTGGGTTGGATACCAAGACCATCGACATCACTGTGTGCAATGCAGCGCTCAATACCCCCGATCTCGTTGTCCCCTTTGCCAACATAACCCTCGAGAACTTTAACAAGGTCTTCCAAGGAAATACCTTCTCCGCCGTCAGCATCATCGCTGCAGTCCTACCACATCTGCCCGCAAAAGGCGGCCGGGTCGTCACCATCTCAAGTATCATGTCCAAGTTGGCGAATGACGACGTCTCGATCGCCTATGGTGCAAGCAAGGCTGCATTGGACAGCATTACTCGATCTCTAGCAGCAAGCTTTGCGGCAACAAAACATGCCACGTTCAACTCGGTCAGCGTCGGGTCGACAGCAACTGATCCTCTGAAGGCTGTCATGAAAGTGCTTCCAGAAGCGATCGAAGAATCCGTGGCGCCACATACGATTGAGAAGAGACCTGGTGACCCCGAGGAGGTCGCGTCGGTTGTAGGATTTCTGGCCAGCGAAGAGGCGCGGTGGGTCAACGGAGCCCAGATCCCAGCTCATGGCGGCAACAGGTATATGCTCGCTCTACAAGGTTGAAGTGAATATATGATGTTTTCGGCCCCAACTGGCAACTTTTGGTAGAAATCAAAAGACGGATAGTAGAGTCTGTACGTTACTTCTCTGCTTTTGGTTGAGGATCATAACCATACTCGAGGCGGTACACGACACCCAAGATCCTCCCAATGTATTGTTCGGTCAAAATTTCACAATATATCTGTGACTCTGAACATGCTGCAAGTGAACCAGGGGTGACGAAGGCTGCGTTATGTCTATTTGAGTAAGCCCGCAGAAGTCGTGAAGGTATTACCGCTTGATCTCTACTCCGGTAGAGGGTTACGGCTCTCGATGCGATCTACTTCAATCAATGCCGCCTTGTGATGGAGAGAAAATGCTCCAAGTCTCTGTGCATCTAGTATTAACGCTGAGGACGCTGGAGTTATGACTGACCTGCCGGCACTGGAAAGGATGGTCTTTGTGGATGGATGATTGAAGATACGGGCCAGTCATTTCCTCCATGCAAAATTCAAAGTGGGAGGCGGAGGAGTGTTTAACCGGAATGCAGTGCCATGTGAAAAAGCAAAGCACGACATTCAGTTCCTGGATGCTGGACCAGCGATACCTGAGGCCTGGGTGGTAGATCGTGCAAGATCGTGGCAAACCTAGGGACCCATAGGTAAGGACGAGCCTCCATTCTCGGTTCCCAAGCACCTCAAAACACTATACCTGGAGATACTTGTGGCACACCGCCGTCAAATAATAGGTGATAAGCCTTCGAGACCTGTCAGCGCCGGCATCCACAGCCTCTTATCACCAAGTTTTTGGGAGGTGGTTGGGGACACTGGTATTCAACATCCGCGGATTTTGGCAGGAGCAACGGAGGAAGCTTCTATCTTTGGAAGTTTCCCCTGAGACGCGCTAGTCTCCAAGTGGCATCCCGGTCGTCAACATGTGAGTTTTTTTTTGTTCCAGAAAATTTTAGGTTTCCAGACCGCTATGGGCCATGATAACAAAGTGACAGTACCACTACCAGTCCATGCACCACGTTGCTACATCGGTTGATAGATGTGATTGTATTTAATCCCATCGTCCATTCTTTTACATCGGTCTCTTTCCTGTCACCTGCGTATCTTCAAACCATCTGATTCCTTGACTTGAATCTCCCTGGGCGCCAAATACCTCCCAGTCCTCCACGCAGTCAGTACATACACAACTGCACCTACCGACGAATTTCTTACCAACGAGACCTTACCGACTCCTCTTCCTCAATCAACACAATGTCTGCCATCTTCGCTTTCGCCAAAGCAACCGTCCCCGCCGTTGCCACGGCCATCGCTCCTTTTGCGGCCGTCTACTACTGGCCCAAGAAGTCGGAAGTCTTCTACTATACACCCAAGAACTCGACGACTCCTCTCTTCAGTCTACCCCGACCTAATATCGCTGTTGGAGCCCCGAACTCTGTCCTCTAAAAGTCTATCGAACACAATACAGCAAACTTCCTACCACCCATTCGTTTCACCACGAGATTGAGCATATGGACACATAATAGACGAATACATTTTTGGGTTGGCGTTTCAATTTTCAGCGAGGATCGTTACATTCGCAGCGCAGCACAGCACAGATACCCATATAGATCGCTGCCATTACGGGATAGACATTTAGAGGTTACTTTAAAAGCATGAACTGGTTCCACCATCTTTCCCCTATCAGCGCAGGGAAGGGTGTTTTGAGCGTTGGTTGAGCATCTGAATTGATATGGCATTTCGAGCGATTCTACACCTAATCCCACAATCTGAAACCTCTGATTTTACAGAAAATAATTCTTTTCTTCGAATAGCTGTTTGGTCAAGTTCTCTCGCAAGACTAGCGGTGTCCACGCCCTACGGTGATGGTGCTACTGCCCAGAGGGATCCAGAAGCATATCGAACGACATTCTACCCAGAGTAGATACCTGAGCGGTGACGAGAACGAACAAGCACACAGACAAGTGACAACTCTGTTTGATCTTCGATCGGTCCTCTCTACCACTGGCTCGGGATTCTTGGCTCAGATCCAAGATCTGCTCACCCGAGCTCTGTTGTGGTAGCGTGGTATGTTGTCTACTGCATTCCTCGCCACTACTCTGCATCTGTTTGCGGCTGCATGACAACCCGAGCACGGACGGACTTATTTCTCCATTCATGATTCCATGAGCTGCCCATGTCGGCATGGAATCCAACGCGTCCAGCTTCACGTGCTCCTGCTCTTCCAGCCTAGGGTCGTATGAGGGGTGTTGTCGACGACGTCTTGATTGGACGAGGTCTGGGGATTTTCAAGTCATTCTATACCTCTTCCACTTACATATGTGACTAAAATTTCGTGTACCATCCATCTCTTCCGACTGCACTTGATACCGAGATCATCGAGGGGAGAACCACGATGACTGGTCTGACGATCATCTTGACGTATGGCACGGGCGGGGTCAAGAGGATGCGCCAGCGATATAGCCCGGAAGTTGGGGTGAGAGCAGTAACATTGGGGATTCTGAGAGGTTATTGTCGCATAAGTCGTCTATGGTGGTTGCACAAACACACGTGCGGTAGAGGACATTCATGATTATGCAGATGCGGGATGCGATCATCCGTGGATAGGTGCAGTCTGATTAATGGGGGACGGGATCTTGATCCACGTTCAATAGTCTGGACTCTGGAACAGAGGTGCCGGACGTGGAGAAAGAGCCTGAATCCAGCTGAGTATTGGGAGCTTCAAGGACCAAGATAGCAAGAGAGAGATCCTGGTACTCCGTATCTAGTTATCACATGGTGGTGGAGCATATTATTACGGGTATCTTGTAGGTAGCTACCTCGTATTTATTCATCAAACAGCCCCCCGTGGCTGATGGCGACCTTCCCTGGACGTTCGGGGAAACCTCGCCAAACCTCATCGTCATCTCGCAGGAAGATTTCGCTTTCACATCGACTGGCCACCTCCGTGTTCACATCCAGGTCTCACCAAGATGCTTCCACAACGTCCATCTCACCGTCCGATCATCATGCTACGCGACATTCCGATGCGGTGATAATCTCGCACCAAACCCCATGACAGCCCTTTCAACCTCCCACTCCGACGTCGGTCATCGTCGCCATGAGCTCCTTACTCAACCCCATTCACAGCGCGAAGCAGAAATGCCGCCCAAAGCACCAAGTTCTTGTCCTGAAATGTTATCCCAAATACCAGAAGAATGTCCAGGAGGTCAAGCCCATGTCCTCCGAACTCAGCTATCTTCTCTACTATGCATCCACCCGGCGGAACAAGCTGCAGAAGGTCGGCGCATTTTTGGAGAAGAAGAACGCCGGTGATGTCTGGAAAGGAAGGCTCGGGTGCGCACCACAATAACTCTGCAACGATCATTGCTAATTGAACTCTAGCAATGTCCAGGTCACCCTCCAGATCCTCGCTGCAATCATCGAGAAAGCACCCCGTGACCTGTCTCTCTACTCCAAATCCGTCCTCACCATACTCGATTCTGTCCTCCGTTCCAAGGACGTGAACATGGTGGAAGACTCTATTCCTACATTCGAGGCCTTCTGCAAATACGTCGAGGTTGCCTCTCTCACCGCCGACCAGCAGCGTGCTCAGCAGTACATCTCCCTCGTCCAGCACTACGCTGGATTTGCCATGAAAACAAAACCGACGGATAAGAAACAAAACGACCCCATCCCACTCTCTCTTAGATGGCGGAAAATTGGTCTTCGGGCCATTCGGGCTGTCGTAGCCTCCGATGTTCTGTCTGTGGATTCTAGCCGACAACTCAACCTGGTCATGCCGGTGATTCTGGAGAACATGTCGCTGGAAGAAGAGAATATCCTCTCAACATTACAGCAGCGGGCAAAAACAAGCGAGAGGATGGACGACGAATCCGCCAGGAGGAGACGCATGAGTATCGCGACTGTCACAACCGTCGACACTATCGATGGAGATCCTGCTGCTGCGGTCGAGACCACCGCCGGTGCGGACAAGGTTGCCGAAGAGGAGGTGAGAGCTTTAGCGTTAAGGTGCCTGAAACAAATATTCTCTGTTGGCATCGGAAGTACAAGGGGTCAAACTAGGTTGGCAACAGCTTTGACTCTAAAATTCATTGCTTCGAAGAATCCGCCCAAGGTTACGCCGGAAACATCAAGGACTGGCAACTGGGCGACATCTCTGTTCGAAGCCATTGCGCGGTGGACACCCGTACAGGACCGTTTTATCATTGTTGTTACCGCCATGGAAACACTGGTTAGAAGTCCCATGGCGGAAGGAGTTCTGGAAAAACAGCTAGTCCTCACCACCATGATCGATTGGCTTCTCAGTTCGCCCGTCAATCTCATTGGATTGAGCGTCATGGATGTTCTACTTGGCTTCATCCAGCACATGCTAGTCCTCCTCCAACTCGGGGGACCAAATGCTCGCATCACGCAGCCACATCGAGAGGATACTCTCGGGTTCTATCGAGTAACCAAGGAGGCATTCGATCCAGCTTCGGTCTTGACAGAGAACAAGATGTCCCGGACGTTGTCCAAAGAGCTGACAGCATCACCCGTCCGGCAAGAATTGCTTGAGAGGCTACAGAAATGTATCGCCTCTCTTTCCAACCACATCTACTACACCGACCAGATCAGCGACATGCTCACAGCAATTCTAGCGCGGCTCAAACCATCACCACAGTCCGAAGTCCCCACTTCGGCAGCTGCTATTAATGACCCAGCTGCCGCCACGAAAGCAATTGCAGAGTCTGCAAACATACAAGAAGACACCTCCACCTCCACCTTCTTCTCATTTGCAACTGCACGAGTCACTGCTTGCCGAGTCATCAGAGAAATCCTGGTTCGCGCTAATAGCAGACGAAGCATCGGAGGAGCCCCAATTGAAGCACGTGCACGGGTCGGGGTGCAAGTGTGGGAGGGCACCCAGTGGCTCCTCAAAGACGAAGATCATGAAGTGAGGTTTGCGTATGTGGACGCGCTGTTGGCGTGGCTGAAGCTTGAGACCAACAAGAGTGACATGCTTTTACCCCGAGATGGCAATCGAAAGCAGACACAGTCCAAGAAACTTCAGGGCGAGAACGGTGTGGCGAAACGGGCCGTCTCCAACGCATCCCGCAAAGAAAGCAAACCTACAAGATCCAATTTTCTCGCTCTACTCCATCTCGCTGTCTATGACAGCATTCTTGACGATGTCGAGAATGAAATCAATCTTCTTCTCCTCTACCTTCTCCTCACCAAATTGGTCGAACGTCTTGGTGTCAATGCGGTCCGCAGCGGGTTGCCAATGATACTCAGACTTCAGGAAACAGCCCTTAATGGAGAGGTTGTCTCCACCTCGGGAAGAGTCAACGTCGGGAGTTTTGTGCATGGCTACCTGTGGACAATCGCGGAAAGTTTCGACTTTGAGACGAGTCCAACAGGTCATGAGATCAATGCAGAGATTTCTCGAAGAAAACGTTTTGGGATCTGGCTCGAGAGGATCAAATTCCCAGCCTGGTCCATCGAAGACATCAAACAACTTCGGAGGGAGACTGAAAAAGCCCCAAGCTATAATGAAGAAGCCGTGGAAACCATCAAGCCGTTCTTGTCAGTCTCAAATATTGTGGAGGAGATTGCGAGTGCATATGACAACGCTTTGTTGACGCCCCCGACTTCGGCTCCATCGTCACCCGGGAGGGTCTTCTCTGTCCCGACCCTCGGATTTGGTTATGGTTACGGAGCCGCTCCCCCGCCAAAAGCCTCGAGGGAGGATCAACTCCCCCAGAAAGTTAAAGACGAGATGGCTGCAGGATGGAGCAGAGAAGCATGCATTGCTGCGGTCGAAAAGGAGAGCGCCGGATCTATGACGGGCTCAAGGACCGGAGCATCTTCCATACCCAACCACCACCTCGGTGTCAACGGTGCTGCTCGCCCTCTGGGTTCTGTGAATGGAAAAGAGTCTACGGCAACGGTAAACGGTACCACAACGCCAACTTACGGTCTTATGGGCGGATTAGGAAGCCTCACTCAAGTCCGACGAGCGAGCGCCACCGGCTCTCCTGCAAGGGTTCCGACTACCTCGAGCAGAGAATCAACAATCAGAGTCACTGATTTGAAGCGAGCTCTATCCGGCTATGGCGTTACTGGAAGGCGACAGAGCCCGCTACGGAGACCACAGACAAGTTCTCGGAGAAGTGCAGGGAGCAGCGGAAGTAGCAGCATGCTTAGTTGGGATGATGCCGACGACCGTAACCCGTCCTTCCTCGACGTAGCGGCCACTGGCAACCCAACCGAACAGAGTCTAGAGAGCAGTCCACCCAGGCCGCAGACGTCCTCCAGCACCGCACAAACGAGAGATTCCACGTACCATGATCAAACAACCCTGCCGAATGTCACAGTAGATCCTCGTACGGATGCGGATGTTCCGCCAGTACCAAAGATCCCGTCAACGCTCAATCTTCCTGGTACATGGCCCCGCGATGCTTCACCAGCGCGACCCACGGACGCTGCAGCGGATACCCCTGTCGCGGGCGTTCCTGAAAGTCCCCAGTCACGAAAACCCACAGGCAAGGTGTATTCGCAGTCGCCAGGGCGAGAAAAGCAAAGTATGCGAAAGACATCACGGCCAACAAGCCGTAAGGGTGCGACACCACTCTCTTCATCCCCGAACGAAAAGTTCGATTTGGGATCACTGTTGGCTGCCATTCCCGTTCCAGTTGCAGAGGCAGTAGGGGACATGCAGAAGGAAACCCGACCCGGCAGGCTCATCCGGCCGCCTTATTGATGGATGGTAATAATGAGAGAAACCCTGGATTGTATATTACTTGGGCCATGTCTTTCCTAGCCAGGAGTTGTTAAAAGATAAGCGTTCCTTTGTATCGCGTTTGGGTGTTTCTTCCAAGTTAGACTCGCCTGGCGTTTCTGCGAGATACTGTCTCTATGGCCAAAATGCAATATTTCAAGTCTTCTACAAGATATAGACCCAAGAGAGGCCGGACCAGTCCATTCACTTGTTGTGTACTCGGAATATATGAGGTACAGACTACGTGTGAATGCGAATGCCTGGGATTCGAATGACGATATACGTGTCATTTGAAATGTAGAAACTTGGACTATTTCTCCTTCACTTCATGTTCACTGTATATTTGCCATCTTGAACACAAGTGAACGTTTAAAATGGTCCCAAAGTATAAAGCCATATTCCCTAATCACCGATGACTATTCAAGACCGATTACCCTTTTTTCCACCGGTTGAAGAGAATATCCAATAATGGCGGATACGATGACTTCAACACTGGTCGAACCAGTTCGGGCCTCCATGCTGATCGATCTGGAGGGAGCTAGTACCCATCCAAAGGACTTGAGGCCGCAGGAAAATCCCCGCGCAAGCGACGTAATGGGCATCCGGATTGAAGGCCTTGACAGGTCATTTGCCGCGCTCTGGCTGGGTGGGAGAGTCATCGGAATTGGGTCGGCTGAAGAGCAGGATGGTAAATCTCCGAGAAGTAAGGTGAGTGATAGCTGGCCCATGCTCCGAGATGGGCTACTGGAAGCTCAGGCGAAGCGTAACTGATCGTTTTGTGAGAAATTAGAGATCTTTCGTCCTCCAAACGCTTGCTGCAGCACTCCTCCAGCCTCGACTCCAATCCCAAGACAGTTCAAGTGTGCTGCCAAATGTGTACCTTGTGACTCCCCACACTTCTCAAACCATTCCGATGCTCCATGTTCTTCTGACAAAGACCATCTCTGATTGCTCGGCTGCGCTCGAGCTTCTCAAAACTGTGCGACTGTTACAGTATTTTGACCTCGCGGGACTGGCAGAAAGCTTAGCGGAGATCAGCCAGGAGCTGTACCAGAGGACTCATGCGACCAATATGTCAATCAATCCAGAAGCTGGCAAACGTACTCTACTCAAAGATATCGTCTTGATCCAGGGTTTAGGACAGACGGTGTCAGCCACGCATCGTCGGAGTGGCCTTGTTCAGAGCAATGCGTTGCTTGGAAATTTGACAAGGAACATTACACAGATTTCACGAATATCAAGAGACGTCCTTGTTCTTGTAGAAGTTCCTCTCGAGATCGGGACAGTCCGCGACACCCAGTTGTATCAAGAAACAGCAAAGGCCCGGAGAGTTCAAGCAGCTATCGAAATGAAGTCTGCCTTTGCTGGAACCCATGGTGAGGCGTTGAGACTCTACTCGGGGCATGAGTCACTGGCAAGGACTCTGGAGGCGGCCCTAGATTGTATCGTTGTGGTACATGACGGGTTCGGACGAGTCAAAGAGGTGGGAAGACCTAACGAGCGCGAAGAGCAGGTGGTTGAGGTCGTCAAGGATCGAGTTGGTGACTTGATGGGTCTTTGGGGCATTTGGAAAGGAGGATGATGGTGCTGGGAAAGCATTTCTGAGGCATGAGATGCGCCTTCCAGCCAGTTCAGAAAACAGTCCCTGTCGATGGATGTCGCCTTTCTTCGGATCTTCTACCACCTTGGACTCTCTTACGACCAACTCTTCCCCATGACCGGGCTGCTCGGATATCATACACGAATATTTTAACAATGGACATCGGTAGCAGTTATCTCAGCGTTATTGCACGGTCCGGAGTGCCGGTCATGCACGCTGCTGTTTTACCTCCTTCGGGCAAAGTATTGTTCCTGGACAAAGTCGAGGATTACTCCGAGCTGCGCTTGCCGAACAATCGATGGGCCTATTCCGCGCTCTACGATCCAGAAACGCATCACCTTAGTCCTCTGTCAGTCGCGACAAACCCCTTTTGCTGTGGTGGGAGTTTTCTGTCAGATGGACGGCTTGTCACAGTCGGCGGGAACGCCCCATTGCTCTGGCTAGACCCGACAGTTGGGGACGGCTTCGATGCAATTCGGTACATTGGAGATGAAGGTGGCAACTATTCATGGAAAGAGCCTGGAAATAAATTGGCCTCCAACAGATGGTATGCAACCGCACAGACCCTGGCAGATGGCAAGATCTTCGTGGCAGCAGGAAGTTTAAACGGACAAAATCAATTCAACTTCAGCAACAATAACCCAACATACGAAATTCTCGATGTAAACGGTGTCAGTCAAGGCGAAAACATTCCAATGAACATTTTGGTCAGGACTATGCCGTACTAGATGTACCCCTTTCTGCACCTGATGCCCGATGGTTCGCTCTTCATTTTTGCAGACACTTGCTCGGAGCTGTTTGACGTGGCCAAAAATGAGACCATCAGGACAATGCCTGACTTGCCTGGAATGCACAGAACCTATCCCAACACAGGAGGTAGCGTCATGTTACCCCTACGTGCAGAGAATAACTATGAGGCTGAGATCATGATTTGCGGCGGAGGACAAACACAAGCAATCAACAGTCCTTGCGAGGCAACCTGTGGAAGGCTGAAACCGATGGGTAAGCGTCCTCTGTGGGAGATGTCTACGATGCCAGGCCCCCGAGGAATGGTAGAGGGGGTTTTACTTCTCGATGGTACCGTGCTCTGGATCAACGGCTGTCATAAAGGTGCGCAAGGTTTTGGACTGGCCACGTACCCAGCATTGGAACTCCTAGTCTATGATCCGAAATGGAATAACTGGACCGTGTCTGGGAGAACGACAATTGCCAGGCTTTATCACTCTGTCGCCTTCCTACTTCTGGATGGAACAGTGCTCATTGCCGGAAGCAATCCTAACGAAATGCCAGTAACCCAACAACATGTTGACATCCATAATCAATACAAGGCATTCCCCACCGAGTTCAGGATGGAGACATGGATTCCCCCATACCTTCGTGGTGACAAGGCGTCGCGGAGACCTACGGTGATGCGCCTCTCGACATATATCTTGAGACGTGGTAAAAGAGTGACCATCGAGTTCAGCACTGTAGAGCAGGTCAAGACGCTAGACATTGTCCTATACAGCGGGGGATTTATTACGCACTCAGTCCACATGGGCCAGGTGATGGTATACCTTGAGAACAACGGCTGGGAGACGCTGAGCAATGGTCGAAAAAGGGTCGTAGCGTGTATGCCCGAACAGGTCAAACTGGCTCCTGGACCCTACGTGGTTTATCTGCTGGCCAATGGCATTCCCGCAGTTGGGAAATTTGTTACTGTGCGCGTCTGACGCGGAAACTCATTGTTTTGGTTCAGTGCTTGATCAAGTAGGGCTTAAGAGGGTCTAGGATAGACGACGTTGAGAATGGAATACCGCAATACTTCACTGTTGGACATATTTGGGGTTTTCGAGTATTGCTTCACCGTAGCGGCGTTACGTTCAAGTTTGCGGCAAAAACCGCAGTTCCAACCACGAGGGGCTTGGTAAGTGGTCGAATAAACCAAGAAACTTACAACTCCAACATCCCATTCTCTACAAGAACTCTGCATGGCAGACGACCCTTCAAAAGCCCAGCCGCTGGGCTCGGCGCCAGCGACCATTCCTGCTGTTGACGGAAGCGCAGATGAACCACCCAACACGGCGCCAGAAAGAGGAGGCGGTCCAGTCTCGAACCCGACGGCGCAACCTGCACCTACACAACCCGCTCAACCTCTACAAGACCACGAAGGCGACTTGGTCATGACCTCGCCGGAATCGAGTCTCCCAAATCCTCCCATGGCCGCTACCACAGCCAGTAGCAACGAGCGCGGACCTGGACCCGTACCACTCGACTCACCACTGCGCACCACGCCGATCCACCCCTCTGTGGAAGCGATCAAAGTCCCCGAGACGGCGTTGACGAGCGCCGCGCCCAACACGAACCCGATCACGCTCCAGCCCTTTACCGAGGCGGAATTGGTACAGTACGGCTTCGAGCAGCTCAGGGCGCAGATTTTCGCTACTCACGGTGTCGGTGTTGGTGACGGCGACGGCGGCGCAGGCGGAAATCTTCTCGTTCTCGGCGAAAAAGAAAAACAAGAAATCGCCCGCATCCGCGAGGAGACGGCGGCGCTGTTGAAGCAGAAACTCGACGAGCGCGAGGCCCGGGTGCGCGAGATCGAGCGCGAGATGGAGGACAAGGAGAAGATCCGCGAGGTCGAGAGGAAGGTGTTTCGCAAGAAATTGGCGGCGGGTGGCGGGGAGGGTGGTGTTGCCGGCGTGAAATGATCATCATTGCAACATCAATGGCAATAATGATAATGTCGCTTTCTGTCGAGGATCGCACATATGGGCACGGTCATCTTGGAGAAGGCGAGGAGGGGAGGTGATGGGTCTCGATGCTCGGACGAGTCAGGGAAATGCTCTGGGACAATAACATTGAAAACTGGTCGCAATAAGGGAAAAAGAACACCCAAGCACAGGATACGATCCCATGGATGATGCTCTACCACGCTCAAAGTCTATGAGGATTCAACAAACCAAACCTGTCCCCTCACAAGTCCGCGATCTATCTACTCGAAAATCCATCCTTGAAACAGACGTCTTTGCTCGTGCCCTCACCACACCAGGCAACACAACGGGAACCAAGAATCCCCGCCAACAAACACCCAAAGACGAGACCAGCGTGAACGAGAAAATCACTTTTGTGTGCCAGTCACACCCCGACGCTACTGGCAAATACCTTCCACACTCGTCCCCCCTCCTCAGCCTCAACCACATAGCGTCGACTTCAAGTCGACGGCCTCCCCACAGTCATGCTGCTGGCCCCAGTCGTTGTGTACATTGTACGAGGCCGTACAATACTCCTCTCTAGGAGCGCAGTGCAGTGGCACGCAGTTGCCTTCGACGACCTCCGGCGCCAACGACATGCCCTCGGCTTTAAAGGCGTGCTTGATGGCGACAGTGCCGACGTAGGCGCCCAGTCCACCCTCATTGCCAACTATAGTTTCCCCCCTGTGGGCCACGCGGTTGAGCCACCCGGCGCTTCCGGCGTTGATCATGCTCAGATCGTACCAGGTTCGCTGGAACGCGTTGTGCCATGTTCCACTCGAACTGGACCGGCGATGTGTTCTCGACGTCGGTCCGCCACAGTTTCCAGCTCACGCCCAAGCGCGGGTCGCGGGCGAAGGGGTGCGACAGCATCTCCTGGGGCTGGAGGATGGAGTAGATCTCCTCCGGAGGTCCCTCGACGCCGGGACGGGGTCCGTGCACACTGTTGCTGTGCACGGCGAAGGTTCAATTGTTGTACACGACGGATTGGCCCAAGTAGCCGTCGCCGCGATCGCTTTCCTCTACTGGCTCTTTGTCAATTTGTTCGGTGACCCTTGGTGTGGTGGTGTCATCTTGGTCGGGTTCTGGCTGCCTGACGCAGAACGCCAGACGGAGGGGTTGACAGCCACACCGATGATGCGGGTTGGCATCGCCGAGACAAGCAGTGTCATGACGACCCACTGGAGGATCGTCGCGGTTGCGACCGAGGAGCACCGCATGTCTGGGATTGAGACTGGTGGTTGTTCAAAAGATATTGACTATTTCGCACAAGATCGTTCGAGTTGTTCAGTCCCTGACTGGGTTCAGGCTGTTCCATCAGTGCCGATCTCCTTAAATTATTGGTGTGGTACAGACGACGGAGACTGAATGGCCTATTTATAGGTGCCGGATCTCTTCGAAGCGACACTGGATACATCTCGCTGCCGACGGAACCCATTGTGGTCGATGATTAGCCTTATTATCGTCCGCCATGTTTCTGTTGTTCACTTAGATTGAACGGCCGGTCTATGGGTGCCGGATCTCTTTGAAGCGAGACTGGATAGATTTGGTGATTTCCAGAAGCCATTGTAGTCGATGATTAGCCTTGTTGTCATCCGCCATGTTTCTGTTGTTCGCTTACAGGCGTGCAACAAGCTCACAACAGTGCCTGCCAATGCAATGTGGAATCCGATGCTGGCGGGCGTGCTTCAGAAGGGCATCGAAGAACACTGGGTGATTTGCGTGCGCATGGATCGCCGTGGTCAAAGAGTGAGTGTTGGGAAGGGTGAGCGAGCGGGTGTGTGTGTAATGTTGCCAGTCATACAAGGGAGGCACCGCATGGATGTCTTTGACAGGGAGAGGGAGAGGGAGAGGCTAAACGGGACTTGCTTTTTCTGAGATGGATGTTGACGAGTGAATACAGATTAGAAAGTATCCGATTCTTCGAAGTTTTTTTTTCTCCTCCAAGATCACAGAATGTAGGGTGTAGGATGCAGGATACTTGCCTCTTCTTATAGCTCTGTGGGTCTACAGTCTCAATGCATTGGCATGGGCATTCTCATCCTCATTGATATGATTTGAATTGTGTTGTGTCGTGTCATGCCATGTTGAATTGGTTTTTGGTTGTATTGCCTGTAAGGTTTTTGTTTTTTTCGTGATCTCCATTGGACCCGTCCATTCTGGTTGTCATTGCGTATTGCGTGGCCAGCCATTTCCTGTGGTTTGGATCTCTCTCCCTTCGCTCACTCGCCTCGCGATTTATTTTACGCTGGGAAACCGGGAGATAGCTCACGTGCGAGAGAGGAAGAGAGAGAGAGAGAGAGAGAGAGAGAGAGAGAGAGGTGTAGAGAAGGAACGTTGGCCATGTTTTTTCCCTCCATTCTATCCCATCCGATTCTCTCTTAGGAAATAGTTTTTCGTCTACATACCAAGCAATACTCGGTTCCTACAACGATACCCGTAGAAAAACCCAGGTTCCATCTATTCTCGCTTAGGGGGAAAGAAAAAAGTATTGAAACCGGGTCGGAATGGAAGCTTGTCTGTGTCAAGACTCACGACAAGACCCGAACAAGAAAAAAACAGTCCCGAAAAAAGGGAGCGCGAGGCTGTGGAGAAATAGGGGGGGCGAGTAACCCTCTACAAGCAAGCAACGCAGCCAGGAGATCAACAACACATGTTTCTACCCGAATAGGAATTTACTTTACAGTGTGGATGTCATTTTACGCGTACGAGTTACCATTCATCGCCGTAAACGAAAAGGGGAAAAAAGGCAATTGTCTCAACATCTATTTGAGTATCTGGGTCGTTGGTATGCAGAGATTTCTAGTGGAGTTTTTTTACCATCCTTACACCCACACAGGTACCTTTGTACCATGCCTTGAAATCTTTTCTGTAATGCAATAAAAACGAAAAAAAAAAAAAAAAAAACAATCAACGTTTTCTACACTAGCACCTAGTGTATGAAAAAATACTGCATGCGTACGGAGTACATTCCTACATACCTAGCTCGCTAGCTGGTCACTGCCGGTCAACCGGTCCGGATGGGCACGTGGCGCGCTACTCGGAAACCTTTTGCCTGTCAATTATACAATACTCGGTACAGAGCAAACGGGTCCATCGAAAGGAATTGCCGCCATTTCAAGGGTATCATTGTCGTATGTAAGGGTTGCGCATTCAAATAGACAGATTATATGCTGCTGGACATCCGGTATAAATGGGAATCAAATAATCCCCTTCCACCCCAGACTGCTTCATCATACTGCCCAAGACCATTTGCCATACACATTGCACAGCACTCATGTACGCGGATCTTACCCGCTTAGACCACATGAGGAGTCGCGTTTCTGTCTCGAAGGTCACCGTTCTTCTCCTCCTGCTCAACTGCCGAGCTGGAGCTGTCCACTTCTCCGTCCTGGATCTCTGCCTCAATGATCGGACCGTGGTAGAATCTCTTGCCGCGGAGCAGCCAGTAGACTATGGCACAAACCAGAATAAAGACCAAGAAGACAACAGCGTAGTTCATGTTGTCCGGCGTCACTGGTCGGATGGTTGGCATGACGAAGATGATGGTAACAAACGTCGTCCAGACACACGCCCAAACGTTCACAGCAAACGAGAATTTGCCCAGATGCCACGGCCCAGGCTCAAACTTGCCAAAGATGAGCTTGCACATAATGGGAATGACGTAGGACCAGTCGAGAGCGATGGCGCACACGTTGAAGACGCCCGCAATCGCAATGTACGACCCCAACGCAATCAGGTTGATGGCAATGCACCAGAAGATGCTGATCCAGACGGCGTAGAGTGGTGTTCCGGTCCATCGGTTGATGATAGTCCAAGCACTGGAGAAAGGAATCAACCGATCGCGGGAAAAGGCAAACACGGTCCGAGCCAACGCCTGCGTGGCTGTCCAGCAGACAAACTGGAGAATGAGAAAGGCCGATACGGTGAAGAAGATGCTGGCGCCCTTGCCCAAGGAATTGTAGAAAATCTGAGCGACGGGTTGAAAGATTGGAGAGGCGAGGACTTCAACCGCGTCCCCCATGCAGAAGCAGAGAACAATGTTGAACAGAAATCCCAGAACGTAGGTGCACAGCATGGCGAGGGAGATAGCCCACGGCGCTTTGATCTCAGGTTCGTTGATTCTGCAAAGGTTAGCATACAAATTCGTGAACCAAAAGGGCGAGCAGTACTCACTCCTCGGTAATGTGGGCTGTGGCATCATAGTCCGTCATGGTCCATGAGACCGATAGGAAACCGAACAAAAAGGACCATCCGATGGGTGTCCAACCAGCGTTTCCCTCCACATGAGTGAAAACGTAGCTTGCGTCATGCTTGTTGTCCGTCACGGCCAGGAGGGCAATCGCACAGGCAATCAGCACCCCAAAGTGGTAGATGACATAGGTCTTGGTCATTTTCTCCATCCAATAGGTTGAGAGAGAGTTGACTAGGCCACAGAGCACGGTCAACGCCGCCATGACTCCGACTGTCTCGTTGGTGGTGGGGAACCATTGAAAGTCACGACCGATGGAAACTGCAGCTAAAAGGAGTTGAGCCGAGCCATACTCCGATGAGGCAATCCCGGCGACCTGTCCCAGCAGATTGATCCAGCCGACAACCCAACTGATGGACGGGACCCATGGCTTCGGAGCCAGTCGAGAAACAGTGTAGTACAGACCACCACAGGTTGGGTACGCAGAGACCAGTTCGGCCACGGAAAAGGCAATGCACAAGCATCCCGCACCCGAGATCAGCCAACACCACACGACTGAAGCAGAGCCACCAGCTTCGAGCGGGAAGACGAACGTGGTAGCGGTGGTCGCAAATAGACCAGAAATACTGACGGCGAAGGAAAAGGTCGAGAGGTAGCCAAATTCGCGCTTAAAAACCTGTGCGGTGGTTAGAACAGCCTCGCTCCTTGTTACTCAACGTCGGTAATCCGCATTCCACATACCGGCTTGTACCCGAACTGCTCAGCGAGAGCTCTGTCGGCGGCGCTCAGCTCGTCCAACTGCACCGTCCTGCGCCGACCTTGAGCGTCTTGAATCTCGACTGTGCCAACGCTGTGTCTGCGCAAATCGCCATCGTCAATGGGCCCTACGTTTACTTCTTTGTTGGCCATGGTTGTAACGTGAGATATCCAACTTCTCTTCTTTGTTCGGACCTCGTTGGGGAGAATCGGGGATACTCCTATTTGTAGAGTAGAGGAGGATTTGGTGTATGTTTGCAACAACTGATTTCAGCTCAGCGCCACTTGCGGTAACGAACAATCCGTTTGACACAGAGGTAGTAAGAGGTCACTCTTTCGTCCACATCGGAAATCGGTGGCATGTGCCGTTCGTTAGTGATGCGGTAAGAAGGAGTGACAGTCGGAGCAGAACGTTTAACTAAGAGCTGCTGTGAGTCGCTGAACTTCGCAGCGGACAGTTTGGCACGGCTTATGGAGGTCAAGACAAAGAGAGTAAGAAACAAGAGAAAACAAGAAAGAGATGCAAAGAAGGCTAGCTTTCCCCGACGCCGAGAGTGCTGGTGAGGCTTGATCTGCGTATGGTAGCATTGGTCCAAGGATAAGGACTCTCGGCGATGGTGGCGGGGATTCTGATGAGGTAGCCATGATGCCAACTGGACCCGCTGGTGGGTGGAGGAGAAAGAATCTTCGATAGAGGTCCCGGGGGGGGTGAGAATGGTTCGATTGGGCAGAAGCGACAGAACGAAGTTTGTCAAAAGAATGGCGTGGGTTGTGAGTGGACGAAAGAGACGAGGATGGGATTGTCCAGCCCGCCACGAGCAGATGTCACTCTCCTCGTGTCTCCTCGAACTTGTGCGCAACGAGGTAGTAGAAGCTGCAAGCCTGCAGGGAGCGACAACTTTGAGCAGGGAGGAGCCGGCCTCTGCATATGCTTTGCATGGTTTTTGCTTTTTTAAGGGTGGAGAATGGGTGAAGGAGCTTCAGGCCATGACAATCATCGGGATCCATCATGCGGACTACTTCGGTTGAGGCTTGAATTAACGTGCGTTGCGGACCAGCTAAAATCCTTCGATTAGGACAGGCCTGGAGTACGAGGAGGTCGGCGTGGAGATGTCTTCCAGGCACCATTGTAGGCAGCTGATTCGATAGAGACGCCTATTCGTACTCGTAGCAACGGGTAGAGCCCGCCTAGAAACCCCCTAGAGTCCGTCTGAGAGGTCACTACCTGCTCCTCCGAGCATAGCCCACTAAAGGGTAAATACCAAGCCACCG